CAGCGGGTCGCTGACTTTCGAGTTGTAGCGTTGCGAAACTATAACTTTGTTAGCCGCATGAGTCGTAGCTATCATCGCCAGCAGGGTCATCACCATTGTTAAATTTTTGCGCTAGCTAGCCGCCATGGCCATCGCCAACGTTATCGTGATGAACTCTGCTATTGGGAAGACGAGGCAACCATTAGAAGATGATCGGTATGACAGTGAACAGAAGATGGAGAGAGTGTGAGAGCGGGACAATTCGAAAATAGGAACAAGCTGTTGAGGAACGAATTAGGGATATCAGGAAATGTTCTAATATTGTTATGCAACGTGTCGCCGATTTAAAAGATTGCACAAGACGTTCGCACTGAATGCCGCTCTTCTTAATCATATCTCTTCTGCTATTGTTTGCGGCGTAACGCGAGCAAACGCAGCGGCATCTAGGGGAAAAGCAAAAAAACACAGCGGCTTATCGATTTCGGACTGTGAGAATGAGGCAATAGGAGACGTGACTGCAACGGTATTCGCTATAAACAGCTGCCAGCTACGTAGTTGATTGGGGAATAGCAGTTTCCACATTATTTTAGCCACCTGTACTAAAGTCGTAGTGTAGAATAGTATAAGATGGCAGTAGCACAGGACAAGTGTTGCCTCTGCCAGCATCGTAATCGCAACCACGGTTTCCAGTTGCTTTTTACTAGACGTGGCAGTAATAGCGTTAGTTTACGTTGCCCTAGGCAAAGCCCGTCGTCGGTAAGAAGAAGCGCGCGAGGGAGACAGGCAGCGACTGAAGAGGGAGAAACAAGCGGGGCGGGCATGGGGGTGAGCGAGGGGGCAGAAACCTATTGTACTTTCTTCTGTGAGTGCGACGTCCTCTTCGACGATTTCGGCTTCGCATACGGGCGGAGACAGGGCAACGACAACAAGATGCAGCGAAATCCTTCTGGAACGCTTTATAGCAGCCCGCAGTAGACTATCTGGTATATATATGTGTACAGACATAGATAGATGGAAGTGACTAAACCAAATGTTAGGATGTCGATTCCGGCTTTTGTCTCTGTTTCCGTATGGGTTAGGGTTGAGTTGGATTGGGCTGGGCTGGGCTGGGTTGGGCTGGGCTGGCAGCCACGGGCGTGGTGCCACAGGCAATGTAGCACAGTCCGCTATCCGGCGACCGCATGATTAACCTCATCCATACTACTAGTATCAAATGCAACAGACACCGTTTGGTGTTGACGTGAAGCTCATTGCGTTATATTTAGGTGCGAGTGAGTGTGTAAATATGTTCTAGCCGAGTACGACGGTCATCGTTGTCGTCGCTGTTATAAAAATAGCAATAATAATTCTAATATAAAGAACGAGAAAAAGGAATACGCCAGTGAAGCTTAGCTGATCATTAGCGACTTTCTTCATCTGTGCGTGCGTCAGTATTGGCTATGGATGCACGTTCGAGCGTATGTGCGTGTATGTAGACGTGCTTTTCTGTTGAATGTCTGTGCGCATTTGCGCGTCCTGGCGGACTAACGAACGAGTGAATTATGGGTTACACGGACGCTCCATTACTAGAGTGATGGTAGTTACGGTACGTAAAGCACTCGCGCTTCCCCTGCGACTTTGGCCATTCAGTCAAGATGCGAAAGAATTAAATCAAAGCCATTTGCGTATTTTATTGCGCAACGACAACAACAACGGCAATTGTATGCTTCGTTAAATATAATTGCTCTGATACCAACAAATCATTTTTTACCAGATGATCGTATTTGTGTATACTTTTCTATCTTTAATTTTTAACCCTTGCTACAGACACAATAATGAAGTGTCTTCTCGATTGTTTAAACCATATTAGTGTTTTTATAGAAAAAAATAGTACTTTATTGCGCCAATCTCTGTAAAGGGGTCTGGTGTCGTTTTTTTAGCTCTTTTCTAGACATACTTAGCGAATCGAAATAGCTTAGTTCTTGATATGACCAGACACTGCCTATATTACGTTTTGTAGGTCTACTGTTTGTTGTCATATGTATTTTAGATTTAATTATAATAGTACAGGATTACGGATTTCAATTAGAAAATTAGGAACTGCTTCGCTTTTAAGACGGTATTCCAAAAAAATATATATATAATATATAATATAGCAGATATTTCAACGATACGCTCGTCTGTACGCTAGAAGTTTTATTTCTGATGGACATGTTATTTATTTAATATAATCAACATCCATTACGACTGCAGCTACAGAAGGCGCTTTACTGGTTATTTTTTTAAATCTGCCCTAAACGATACCGGTAAATGGCGCAGAGTTCGTTCAAGTAGCGCTTAAATTCACTATATACAAACATTTCTGACCGAGTTAAGCTGTGAGCCGATAGCAGGCCACAAGTTCCAAAAATGCAATGCTCTAAAAAAACAAAAAACTCAACAGGTGCAAAAAAAACACAAGGCTACTAATTTTGGAGCTTAGCTGCACAACCCAATTAGCAAGCGATATTCTCTTGTCTAAAATGTAAAAAAAAAAACAGTTTGTGTACGAAAACTAAAAAAATGACTTTTTTTTTGAGTTACTTTGATGAATTCTCCATGGCTTTAAGTTAAAGTCATTGAACTTGCATTATGAAAATCCTTCACGGATTTTACAGATGCAACGTAAAAGAAGCAGTTCCAAAAGCAGCGCGCTGTCATTTGCCATGAAGGGTTCGTCGGTTTATTTTTCGTTGGGAACGAATGTACGCATGGCTTTTTCGCCGAACAGCCAGCCAATCTAAACGCATCGCCCTGTATGTATATCATGTATTAATCCTCAAGGAAATTCAAAAATTAATCAAGTACCACCATCATTATATTTCAAATCGCGAGCTAGATAACGTCAGAAAACCTTACTAAAATAAAATCCCTTTAATGTTTGGGTAATATCTACCTACGGGCTCAGAACCTGCTCACACTCTCCCATCTGTTTCGATGAAAATTATATTTACGAAGAAAACATGTAAATATCCCGTTCTCATAATATATAGGTATATGTCACAATTTCAAGTCTTTGCACACATTTTTCTCTAACGTTGATATCAAATGTATTTGTCCTTGATTCGACTATTATTTTCTCTAACTGTCCTATACGTAGAGCTTTCGCTGTTTTTTAAAGATATAACTAATATTACTTTATACAGTTCAGGCTTTCGTTGTTTAGTTAACGATCTATGATCGTGAACTATCTACAAGGCAGTGCGCCAAAATTGGGGTAAATCTTGGCGGGTTGTTTGTCTGTCGTGTCACTGTCACTTCCGGTACCAAATGAAAGTCAGGTCATTCTTCAACAAAACAGTAAACTCATTATAGCGCACAATAGTGTGATTTTTGGAATTTGAAAGAAGATCCGAAATTACAACTTCTCGAGTTATCCCCCAATGTACAGCGTCCCAAATGGGTTTGGAGGTGTAGAATAGGTAGCAGAAACTAGCCCCGAAACGAAAAATCCAACGTGAAGAAAGAAAAGTGCAGACTCCAATGGTAGTAGCTGGCTTACCAAAGTGCATTTCTAACGATCCTTCTATTTCCATCAAAGCGACAGTGCGTAAATTTGGCGCTAGTGAGCGTACGATGTTGGGGATTGTCACGAACACCTTAGATGCTCACCTACGGGTCATATGCCGGTGCAGTAGCTCACAAAAGATGATTAATGAAGAGCTGGCTGCTTGACAATGCAGGCAAAAGTAAATACGGTGGCCGAGGAGTCGGATTTGAACCTGTCGAATTGCTAATGTTGAGCGGCGCTGAGCGAGAGTCCGACAAGTCGTGGCATGACAACATCACCTCGCTTACCCTTGCTACTAAGAAGGAACATTTGAAACGACCCTATGAGCAGTTTGCGACCTGGGTTAAGGCTGCCATTGCAGAGGATGGCGGTTGCATTTATTAAACATGGTTTTCAAAAATGGCGCTTCTGATGTGTATAAAAAATGTCGCTGGAATGTCTGTTTTGCTTTAAATGCAGTCTTGCAAGCAAAACATACAAAAACGTCTTAATTTATATGCCATGTCCTGTATTACACAATGCCGAACACATATACCAATTATAATGGTCGCTGCTAAGTTAGGACCGTGTTCTTAATACGTTTTACTATATTCAAGAATATATTTTTGACACTGTACGACATTTCGAACAGCACTAACCAAAAAATTAAATTTTTAACAAATAGCTACAGCTTTTCGCTTACATTAAAAAAAAAAAACTATCGTTCTAAACCTACTTTTTATAGGAAGAAATACCTTTAGGTCAAAATCTCAAAAACTGACAAAAAGCCAGACTGAAACCTGAAAGAGTATTGCTCTCCACATTCTTGAGGTTGATCAGTAGACACAATTCTATAACCGCGCCTTCGTAGTCCAGGCTCCTGGCAGTATTTTTTTAATCAACTTTTCAGTGTTTCAGTCACAGACTGACTCGTCGATGCGCGAGCGAAGGAACACAGTATACGAACGTTTGTTTTAGAAATCCTATGAGGCTTAGGAGTGAATTTTCTGTCGAACGATTAACCACTTCATTAATTCTTCTGCTAAGCAAAATATACACAGGCTTTATTTACGATTCGAAATCACCACATCTACAGGGAACCATTTGCATTCAAATGTACGCCACATAAATATATGGGAAGTTTATATCCATAGACCTACTTCTTTTAGAAAGCCAATAAATTAATTCGAATAGTACATTCGATTAAAGGCAAAGGACACTGCCGGAAAGTGTCATTGCCCTGTGACGGAGCAATACGTTGGTGAAGTTCTATTAACAGCCGACACGTTTTCTTACGACACCGTCGAAGAACTTTTACATCGGGTATACCACGCTCGGCCTACTCAGGCCTTGCAGTATTATCATTGTGTGTGTTTAGAACTGTTACTCTAGGCAATGAAGTATTAACTACAGCAAATGTTGGTGCCTATGAACTGTGCCGTCTATTTCAGTCGTGAATTCATCTTCCAAATACGATGCTGATATCCTAACTAATAGTGATATATATTTTCAGGCGGTCTATACTGTCCACCGGGCTCTCTTGGAGTCGGCGGGCCATACGTAATGGATACTGCTGGTCAGCAGGTGCTCTACGTGCAAATGGGTGAAACGGTGTACTTCCAGATGGGAGATACTGTGCAGTGCATACCCGGACCAGCCACTGTAAGTCCCTATTTTATTGGTTATAAGTATTTTCTTCTTCCCAACAGAGTGTGACGCCATATTCATTAATCTTTACTTGTCTACTAGGTGTAAGGGATTTTTGTGATTCCGTCGATGACCTCAGTCGAAGCGCAGCATGCTTATTCATGTCCTAGAGACGCAGCCTTCAGATATCAATCCGCTCTGTTAGATTAACAAATGCAATGTAAAGTGATATTGCATTAATTTGAATATTGGCTTCAGCGGATAGGGAATCTCTGGAAACTGGGCAGCATTTACGACACGCACCGCAAGCGGGTAAACCCTACCATCGGATTATTGCCGTTTTACGTGATTAGCTTGGCTGTCGCTTGCTCTTATTAACAATGTCTGACTAGCATACCTGTTGGGAAACTATTTTTGGATTAAGATTTTCTGCTGCCGTACTAGGACTTATTAAATAAGCTCAATTTCTGGCCCAGATCTGTTTATTGGAACTATCGCTTTAAGGGAGCCAGGCCTCTTCAAATTGTTGCCTTCTCCCGACGAGTGACTGTACCTGGTCGTGGAAGCCACTTTACGTGTTTAGTGGGTGTCAGCAAACGCAACAGTAAGAAAAAATAATATAAAATACCATTTGGACAAGTAGTCTCTAGAAAGATTCAACTGGATCTCGTCACTAGTAAGATGACGACCAGCATATGATGCGGCACGCCGGCAAGCGAATATGACAGAGCTCCTCACAAGACCTGACAAGCGTTAGTTTTTCAAGATTCAAGATGGCCAAACGCGGCAGCCCTAACGCTAAATCTAACCAAAAACTATGCATCGATTATGGTGCTGTTTCCTGAGAACTTTACCGGCACTTTTAAAGTTACTACGCATTGAATCAATGAATGATTCGTCAGACTTCACGGTTACGTCGGTCGATATTATAATGCTAGAAGTAAAAAGAAACGAGAAGATTTGGCGTCTCGAGTGATTCAGACCGTAGCTACTCCAAGCCTGTTACGTGCCTCGTTTCACATAGGGCGGTTGTCGTCCTATGTGTCATCAGCTTATGGGTGATGAGTTGTGACCTAGATAAGTTAAGGCCATTCATTGTGTATCGGAATTTTATCTCTTGCGCATATCCATTAATTATGATTGTGTTTAGCAATTAGATGAGGTCTCAACTATGGACTGTTCCCCATTGGGTCGAACCCAGGTAGAATGATGGGGTATGCGATAGACGACGTAAATGTAGTATGGAGTTTTCGAAAAGACCGTTTTCAAGTCGAAATTACAACAATCTTTCAAAATATCACGACTATATATGCGCCTTTTTTATCGATAGCCTTTTCTTATTTTCGTGGTATGACCCCATCATTGTAGGACTTCTTTGGTTTCTAGGCAAAGGATTGTGACAAGCAGTTTTTGCATCGCTCTATTGGAATGAAATTAAGGCCATTAAGGAGCGGCTGCAGAAATCGAAATAAGTGGTGGTAGTCTGATGCAGAAAGGGTCCGGGTTGTACGGCGAATATATTGAAGCTTCCCATCCATGTTCCCTTTAACTTTTTACTGAGCATGGTCGTAATGGAAGATAAATTTACTAGTGTTGATCGATTTTTCTTCAATGGCCTGTCCTAATCTTGTTAGTTGTTAACGTTGGTCCGGATCAATCGTTTGCCGAGCGGCGACGGCGATGGCGGGCAGCAACGCTTAATGTACAACTCCCTTTCAGTTTCATCAAATCGCCTCCCTTGCACTTTGCCATAGATTGTGATTATTGTTTTTATTTGCACATGATTTTTTTTGTAGTCGACTTTTCCTTACCCATGATCAACCGCTATAGAAATAGTTAGATCGCTGTCGGGTTGTCCACATGTAGACACAAGTAAATTCGTTCGCGCCAGTTGGTCCGGCGTTTAAACATGGCGACTTTTGATAGCAAGCCTTTTTCAAAAGGATGCTTCAAAACTATTTAATGATGCATGTATAGCTCGTTGACGATATGATGGCTACTGACGTATCGATTCCGCTCAACTTTCACGATAATTCCATCAACTTTTTCCGTAATTGGCCGACCACTACGAACAACGTCGTTTACATCCAGAAAAAAAAAATGATAGAACCATCTTCGGGCCGTTTCCTCCGATAATAATGTATCTCGACCGCAAAAAGTACACATTTTTTCATAGGCCTGGACAGTGTCTATGCTTTAACGTAATCAAAATGGCAAAAAAAAAAAAACTCTTTCTAAAAGAAATTTCACTCATCTTCAGAACGCTCTATCCTAGGCCTGAGTAAAGGTATTTAAACAATTCTAGCGCATCCACGGCTATTCGACCTGACATGACAGCAACGCCGCCAATCCGACGCGGCTTCTATCATAAATGACTTTGGAGCCATCTAGCTTAAATGACGGTCAATACCTTTTTGTACTACCTGGTCTAGCACTGTCCGTCAGAATGATAGAACACACAATACAGCCTATACATTTCGTATTGACGATGACTACTAGTAAAATGGCAAGAGAGATGCCGCTAAAACTAACTTATCCATCAACTAGCTATAGGCTGATATTATTGCATTAGTCCGTCAAAAGCAAACTAATATGGCGGAACAGTTGAGAACGGAGGCATCCCTTGGGCTTTTAAATGCGACCTGCGATATTCGCTTGCTTCGAGTAGAGCCCCACGACGTTATGGGCGATGAATGCGTGAGCGTGCCATTGGACGCCGCCCAGTAGCGTGTTGTTGGGTTCTGCACGATTTGAATTGGACGCACCGGGCCGGTACGGAAAACACTGCCTAAGAGCACCTATCTATCTTGTGTCCATTGTACGATACCTAGAGCCAACTGTTGCAATTGTAGACTGCGAAGGAGAAAACTTGTTGGGGACCCTTCGAGAAGGTACGGACATTTTTCTGTCATCGTTACCATTGCGGACAGAGTAGCATTTAGCGTATGCCAACCAAAGCTCTATAACTTCGAAAATAAAATGTCAGTAGGCGTGTATATTATTAGCTAGATTAGTCCATTTTAAGTCATTTAGGGTATTTATAAGTATCCATGTTGAAAGAAAAGTCTGTAAAACAATGGTTTAATATGCCCAAGTTTCAATGTATCGCTTTGACCGGTTAAAAGATGGAAAAGCCCAAAGCTATATCGTGTATCGATAATTGTACTGCGCTAGCCCGCCCCCATAAGCAAACTTTGTCGTTAACGTAACAAACATATCGACTCTAGTATCTGATAGCCTTACAGATCAGAGCGTTTGGCTTTTGTTTGTAACATAACTGAGTGTATACATTTTTGAACTAAATAAATGAGAGTTTCTAATTATATGTAGTATTATGCTGACACTCATACGTGTTCGGAACCATTGGCTTCTGTTCTGTTTAGCTCAACGTCTATCGTCATAGTTAGAATAGGGTATGGGTGGAGCAAACATGTGCAAAAATATATTGACGAAGTAAACTTGCTTATCATTAACTCGTGTGTTTAAAGAGACCTTGCAGCACGCATTGGCTCACATGTATCGTCCTTCGTATTTTACTAGCCATTGATCTGCCTCGTAGTTTTCTGACAGAAGAAACACACTAGAAATCCATTCAGTGTAGTACTAATCTATTACATGCGTACTGCGCAACATTAAGCGTGCACAATTCTTAGCCCAGCGGGTGATGTGTTTTCCGGCTAAATATACGAAGACGTAATCGTCTAGGGTCGAATCCGGACGTAGATACATTTCGTTTTGTCACGAGAACCAGCCGTCTAAGGTAGCGCCGAACGGCTCAAGTACTGGACGTAAGGGACGTAGAATATCAACTGGACGGAATTGCCAACAACTGTAGAAGCTGTGATGTATTGCAAATAGGCTGTGAATGAATACGGTGGAGGATTGCGACAGTTTGTGTCCTTCCTAAGAAAAATGCAACCTCACGATGTGAAGCCGAAACCAACTGATAGTCTTCGTCGCCTATTTAGATAATTCTCGTAATTGGATAATACTAAATATCGAATATTTTTCAATTTTTGTTCTCCGCTCAGTACATATTAAACGTCCCATGAAGAACGGATTGGGCGTTTTATGTTGGTAAATAGAACAGTCGAGTGAGTTGCAGCAATGATCTATTCCTTTTCTTCATATGAATTATAAATAAATCCGATAATGAATTAAAACCTGTAAGTTAAATAAACATAAAAGTGGGGGACAATAAGTCACTCTAGTATCTTTCGTATCATGCTTGTACGTCCTATGTTAGCCCGAGGGTAAATTATGATTTTTCACAGCGACCTCTGGTGGGATACAAGCAAGTTCTACGGACACGGTTTCTACTGCAATTGTACAAATTTAACACTCGAAACCTTGTTCTACTGAGAGTGAGAACCTAGAAGTGCTGGCATATATTGGAGAAATATGGTTCTGAGAGTATATATACTCTTACCTCTAATCAAATGTGCTCCTGGCAGTATGAATAATAAACGGTCCGTTAGTGCTCAGTCGTGATCTACCTCACGATGGTAACGTCACAGCTTCTTTTTATTTCTGACAGCCCCCTACCTCTAGAGAACAGGTTTGATAGCGTACCCTATAGCCTATTTAAGAAGAAAATCTGGATGGTTTCGCTTGTCTTTTTTTAACGAGTCAGTTAAAAAAATTAGATGCTTGCTTTTTACATATATAGAAGAAACGATTGCTTTAAATGGCTAACAGCTTCGAAGGCGAGCCTGTTTCTTGAACATCCTGAAAATTAAATTGAAGAAAGTCTAAGGGTCTTGCATGGTCTAAACACTTTGCCCATACCGAGATAGAACCTGAAAGTGTTACCGCACTCGTATGGAGCGGATCCACTGTAAATAGAAAAGCTGGACTTCTGTATATAGCCTGTCTATTCATAATAATCTTCATGCCGTATCACACATCATCTACTGTAACGCTCCAACATCCAGTTTCTACCAGTGCGCCCTAGTGCGTCGTTGCGTTAATGGTCGGGAGCGTAACCGTGTTTCCTGTTTTGCGAAACTAAAGAAATAGAGCTTTCAGATGTTACTCGCATTATCAATAGTAACGTTGGCATTTGTTCGTATATTTTTAGGTACGGATGGTAACAGGCGGAAGCGCGGGCGTAGCGTTGCCCCCTGTCATGGCGATTCCGCAGCCCGCCTACGACGAGATGCTGCAATTCCACAGTCCGCCGCAGTTCGTCGCGATGCATCCTCACGCTCATCCACCTCCTCAGGTAGCGACCATTTCTGGTCCGCATCATCACAGCCACAACCACAACCATCCACATCACAGCGGACCACCACATCTTACGTCCCCTTTTATGGCTACCCCTCTCCCGGGAGCACGACACCAGCAACAGCTCCCCCCCCCTCCCGGGGGTGGACCGTACCAGATTCCCCTTGTGCCTCCGCCGCCTCCACAGTCGCACCAAGCGCCTGTATCCTCATCGCCGTACGAGAGCACTGCGGGTCCAGGCGCTGGCAGTACGCCCCAGGGTTCACCACACTCACCTGCTATTTCCTATGTGAGTTTTGTTTAGTTCTAGGCGTTTTAATATGTTCAGGTCTTTTATATAAGTTTATAAGAATTTTGTTAATATTGATTTTTTATATTTCATCGTTCTCATTTCGATTTTTCTCTACGTGTAGTAAATGCGTTTACTTGCATTCGTTTATCCTCATTTTTTCATCAATGAAACGGGTTATTACCGTCTGTTCAGTTCTGTACTCATCATTAATTGCCACTTAAAAGTAGATCTCAAAACGGCATTTAAACGTTCAAGTATCGTGGTACAAGTTAGTTTATAAGTCCAATTGATTAAAGTTTAACTGGATGTGTCCCCCGTGGCAGTTTAGAGGGGTAGCATGTTTATTTTAGGAACACGTTGTGGTCTAGGCTCGAATCCAGTCTGACGGAACGCCTAACGACAAAGCGGCACGCAAGATACGAAACATAAATTCCTTGCACGTTCTTTTTTATGCTGTATCTCGTCACCTAAAATCCGCTCTAGCCCCCCAATCAGCTAAGCTTTTGTTTCTAAGATTTCGAGACAAAGCTATAAAATTAGTGACGTGCGTAATTTAGAATAGGATATTATGAACTATTTGTGTTCCCTGTAGCTCATGCTGGCAGAAGTCCCTTTACAAACTGCCTATGATAAAATTGCTTGGTTACAGTTTGTGGGTCAAGTCGATGCTGGCAGTACAACGAAAACTGTAGCTGACATCTCTATTATTTAATTCTATTTTGGTAGCGTCTGGAGGGAAACGTATGACTGAATGCCACTAGTTTCAGATAATAGATAGTAAATTACGGCTGATGATGTGAAAGCCAGCGCGTGTTGTGTTATCTGGATGTGACAGCCCGACAGCGTGGGACCTTAGACCTTCTTGTTGGGGAAGATGGGGAACGGGCAGGGGGTGTGATTACTGGGTAACGGTCTCTTTACAAGATAGCTGAGGTATTTTGACACCAGGTGACAAAAGGTTAACGTTCGCTATTAGCATAGTAGACTGTTGGGAGAAGTCAACATTGTAAAGTTACTTAAAGGTATGCCCTTCAGGTGCGAATTCTAGAACCACTACGACTGCGAAACAGACGTCTAAGCATATGCGGTCTTGTTTTATACTGTTCAATTTGTGTAAATAGGAATAATCTCGGCTTTTACAAAAATCGTATATCCGTCTAAGTGTATGATCGGCTAACGTCATAGAAAATCTTCAAAGCACGAATTTATTTGCCTTAATTTTTCACCAATATACCATGCTAAGGTTTGCTTAATAAATATTTCCGACTTTTCCAACAGTCGTTACCCCTTTTTCGTACCACAGATGTATCGAAACAAAAAACAACTGATGCTTAACTAGAAAAACCTTTAATTTCCGCTAGAATTTTTAACTGGCAAGGGTAAGTTATCGTGGAATCACAGAAATTAAATATACAGGGTGTCTGAAAAGATGAACAGCCTGAATGACTAGAAATTCAGTTTTTATTTTACACATACTTAGTGTTTTAATTGCAAAAGAATTTACATGAATTCTTAAGTGCTCCTCTTACGTTCAAAACGCTTTTCCCTGCTGATAACAGTGGGCTGGGTATTGACCCTTAAACTTCAACAAACATTTTATTAGGTATTATGGTGCGTTTCTGTTCAATTGCGGGTGTTTTCTGGCGTAGATTCCGTTCTTAAAATAGTTCCACAACAAAAGGTAGAGTGACGCCAGGTCTGAAAAACGGGCACGATGTTCTATAAGGCCCTTCAGCGTGAGACTCTCACTAAGATATTCTCTCTTATAACGCTGAAAATGCCCAGGTGCATTGATCTGTTGCACATAAAATTGGAAAAATAAAGGTCCTCTTGAATGCGTACCAATACAGATTAATTTTAAATAACTGGCACCATCATAAAAATGGCCGAATTGATCCTATCCACGGTATGCATGTGGATCTACATTTGCCTAGTCAATGGAATTATGGAGTAATCCTTCCCGGAAACTATTCATCCTGTTCACTTTTCCCAAAGATCATTAACAAAATGGTCGCGTTGGTTCGGATCTTTCATATTTCTTTCATACTTACGCTGGCTACTTGATTCACTGATGCAAAGCTCACGATAATTTACAGACCGCTTTAATCCGAGAAATTTAGGACCGCTTCGTGATGCTTCTTGTCAATCCCATCTTGGCTCGTGAAGCTCCTTGATAGTCTTGATCTCCTAAAAAGGTATCTATGAATACTGAACAGTTCCACCCTATTTTTTACCATATATGTTCTAGCCGAACCTACCTTTTATGTCGCCTGCTAAAATTTCTGCCTGAAATTTCCTGCAATATTGATTTTGTTTCCCCTACATTAATATACTAGAATTCCGAATAGTATCTGGAAATGGATTTCTTGCATTTAAATTTTTATTCGTTACTTCCAGCGAACTATACCCCGGACAGAAAGACCAATCAGGGAGTTGCGATCCGTAATTGTGTGTATCTTTAAGGGCGCCCTATACTTCAATACGTAGTCATTGTCCTAACTGATAGACCTCTCTATGTTGCATTCAGGGCTCGCATCACGAAATGAAGTGTGTCTATAGCAGGTTTCCAACCTGGAACACAATGTGGTCCCGAGATTAGTCGGCACGAGCCTCTAAGCTACCACGAGGACAAATGCTAGGCCAGCATAAATTAGAATTGATTCTCATAGCCAAGAGGACCTTTGCTGTTTATAATGTCTTGTCCCATGCAATTTATAGATAAAAAGCAATTTTGTATCACAAAGGTTTACTATATCCAATCTAAATACCAGAACTCATCATTTCAATAGCCCAGCATGCGCGACATACATACAATAACAAAACCAAACATCCAAAACAAACGTGCAAAAAAGATACAAATGCGTTTTAAAAAGTATTAGCAAATGGCAAATGTTCGAGAAATGATACGACAGAAAAATTAATTTTATGTGATTTGCTTATGTGAAGGTCGTACAGAAAAATATCTTTGATTATATATTTTACTATTTTACGGATGTCTTTCGGACTGCATTTTATTAATCTATTTGCGATCATAAAATTCATTTCAATTATTGTAAGTAAGAATGCTTGGAAGTGGTTTTTCCTCCCCCTGCCCCCCGCTGTTTCTGTTCTGAGGTACGGTCACTATAGAAGTGATAGCGCGAAGCTTCCTCCGTTTTCGGTTGGTGCACTTCGAAACTAGCTATTCAACTTTCAATTACAACTTGTAGTGAGAATCTGGAACAAGATTCTGACTTTCATTGGATGTGTGTACTGTCTATGAGGAATACGACTCTTGAAGTTGAAGAAGCCGAGAACTTTGGAGCACTTTGCAATATCTTGGAAATAGGCTTTAGCTGTCAGCTGCATCGATGCCGCTTTTACTAAAAAGATAATTTTAAGGAAGTGAAAAAAATCGTTGTTATGTTTACTTCCTTGACATTTTGTTTTCTTCTAGTGCTTGTAAGCTTATCGAAAACAAAGTGGTGTTTTTTCAAGAAACTTCATGCTTTTTTTTTAGTGAAGTTTGTTGTCCTGTTTGCAACATCCAGTATATATCAGCACAGTACGCGACGGCGTTGTACGCGATTCTTAGCGTCAAGACAGAACGAGCATTAATGCGTATCGTATCTATCTATCTATTGCTATGAAGCATGACGATGCGGTGCCAAGAAAAAGCATGAAACGACCGAAGCGAATGGTACCGACCGGAGTAATCAGATTAAGATGACCTCTTGCTTGCTCGAGGCGGCCAAGAGAGCCAGAACGCAAAAACGCTGTCTGTTTTGCTCCCATTGCTGGCGCGGTGATCTGGTCTTTTCTGGCGGAGGTGACGGAACTCTGATATTTGTTTGTCTGCCTGTAAGTGTGGCGTGTGTGTGTGTGTGTGTGTATGTGTATGTGTGCATGTGTATATCCGGCCCTTTGCTGTCCCTCTGGCGGCCTCCGAAGAAACTGCGCATCGTCGACTCGAGAATGCATTTCCTTTCCTTTCCTCTCCACTCGATTCGTACTGCAAAGGCTTTTTCCATGATGTTTGCAGGCCGCTCTCAATCATCATCCCCATCATCACCACCCCCATGGCCGAGTCTGCTTTTTGTCGTTCAGTTTGTGTAGCTAATAAAACTGTGCCATGGTAGCCACCTGATTATTGAACCGATGTTGTTTCTTTAGAATCTTGTCCCTTATCTGCTTAGGGATTTTATTGAGAAGATCAGTAGTTAACTAAGCAGACCGGGTAGACAGAGCACGTTTTGGATCCCTACATTTCTCAAAGATATCGACAAATAAAGGGAAGGTTGCAGAATCGTCTATAAACTGGCGTATCAAAAGAGCGGAGATATTTTCACCGTATAAGTGATGTTTCCCGCTCTCATGTATTTCAGTAGATTAACATTCAGGTTAAATCAAAAAGAGACTGATGTAGAGAAATTGTTAATTTGTAGGAGGTGGCCTTGGCGGAAGCAGGTCTAAATGGTCAAAGTCGAGCTCCACATTGAAAAGATTTTACTCTATGGGAATGTCCGGTTGTACATAAAATGCACTATTCAAAGCCTGTGTGAAAAAAAGATTTAATATTTTGAATGGTCTACAGAGATAAATATAGGAAACGTACATATTAAAAGGAAGTTAGTTTTATTAGACTTAGATATCTAGGGGGTCTATGGTCACTAGTTAGAGTGGTTTGCGCCTATTTATACAGATAAACAGAGTACGTAAGCAAACTAACGTCAACGCTTGCACCGTTCCGGTCCGACAGGGAGAACTTCTAGCAAAAACTTTGCCCTCCTTGTATTTTCTGTGACGACTACTGTAGTCAGAGCTGCTCAGCTTATTAAACACCTCGTGCTCAAGTTTATTGATCTGTGATCTGCATCGGTGCAAATAATACAAGTGGCTGTTTTGCCCTAGGAGCATGTGCAGGTTCTCTGGCAACCGACAATTAATTAATTAAATTTTACATTGAATATAAATCGCTCACTATGACTTCGCCTAATGTGCGAGTATTTGGTTTTATTTAATGAATGTAATACTGCTAGCCTTATCATTGAAGGGAAAATTTCTCGTCAAATTAGACAGGGTGATACGGATTGACACAACTAGTACCTCGTATAAACACGCGAACGCTATATTATTATAACTACTACACACAACGAAAAAAATAGAAGTAGGTCAGCTATCGTATGCAGAGAACAGTTGTGTTATACGCCACTGCGCCGCAAAAGGGACTATTTAAACGTAGTTACAGTGCGTTCGTACACGCACGATATTTATTTACAAGCACAAAAACATTCGTTCTTATACGATATTCGAGCGGATTTTTTTTGTCTAACATTTCCATAGTCATAGCCATTAACAAACCCGCTGCCCCACAGCCAATCTCCATAGAAGAGTAACACGAGGAGATCGTGTCCAGCGAGCAGTACAGCATATTTATAACTAAAGTATAGTTAGATAAGTAGCAAATAAAATTTGCAAGCAAAAAAAATATATATATATAGTGTCTGAAACTAGTAACTGAAAAAAATATTCATAAGACCTTATTTGCAAGATCGAATATATTAGACTCTGTAGAGGCAAATATAACTAATCGGTCAGCTCCTATACAAGCCTCCAGATATAGTAAGAGCCACCTACATTAATGGAGCGTGCGGACAATTTGGTTTCGGAGACTGTTTATCAGTCTGTATTGTTGATATCGATATGCTTTAGCTAGAGCAACATTTCATCGGCAAGGCGATATGTGTCGAACGAAGGTCAATCTGATAGCACGATCAGATCGAGATTGCAACCTCATTACTGGCAGAACCTAAAACGCAAGTTTGTAGTTGACGTAAATCAATATAATCAGCTAACAATAAAAGTGGCAGTCTTACGAAAAGCGGCTTGCTGAAGATAAATACCTATACACTCCTCTCCTACAATCTACAATGTGTCCCAGAGGAACGTCAAGTTCTTAAATGGAAATGCGAATATTAAAGACCAGTTTATTATTTATAAGACTAGGATATGTATCTCCAGCTACCGCTACATCGTATAGTGGTTGGTCGTTCGTACGCCTTTCTGTTTCGGGAGACTCTATCGCAGCAGCCCGCGCGAAAAGCCGAACTCCAATGAACCATGCATAGTTAAACAGTAGAACAAATTTCCACGTTAGACACCGTAGCTGTTTGAAAATTTTCGGGCCGTCAGAGCCCCGCCAGGGTAGTATGTGAACATCATTTTTACAGCTCTTAGCGAATATTTAAACATTAGCGTAAGCGGACTTGTCATTAGTAACGAAGCATCTGAGTCACCGTCAAAAGTATCGATGACTACGTCGAACTCAACGGGGGCGGTAACGGTCGGCCTAACTGAGCTATATTCACAGTCCACGTGGAACACTGCCGCTATCTTGCAACTGCTTAGCGATTAAGTTCTCCTACAGCGTAGGAATATTCAGCCATGGTTCCTTATATGAAAATAACACATCTTTGTTAAATTCTCTTATTAGCGTAGAGATTGATAACTGTTTGGAAAGTTAGCAATAGGTCGAAAGGGCCAGTTGGGGCCAAACAAAGGTTATGCCGCCGTTTGGTAACGAAGATCTTGCTTGATAGCATGCGTTCTGAGATCTTTCGTTGCTAACTTCAAACAAAAATGATATAGCGCTGCCCACTTTAAGGGGAAAACTTGCTGTAAATCCAACAAAAAGGCCATATTTTCGCCTGTCGACAATGTGAAGTGACCAAATTTAAAAAACACTTTTTTTTTGAAGTCAGAATCTTGCTTTTAGGTTTGCAGTGTGGAAAAGTATCGAAAACAATAAAGCTGGTGCCAACGATATTCGAACCTTTCGTCAACAAAATTTACGTCTACGAGCGTTTAGAGGTTGCCGTAGGCAAAGCACGTTGTTTTTCCTCGTATCTGAGTGGCAACCGTAAGTATCGGTTCAAGAACACTTACGTTTGTACGATATGCTTTTCTATGCATACAGATCGTGTAGTAGAGGCCGTAGGCGGAGCTTTGAGCAGCGATCCCTGATAATAGTCAGCGCAGCTATGACAACATTCTTCACATGGAGCGGTTAATTCTGTGACGTCACAGCTCAGAGCTACGTATTAATGACTTGTTATGCAGTCTACTTCAATTTGGCTTCACAAGCGGCCCTCACTTGTTGCTTAGCCATCCACAAAAGTATCATAGTTTCCTTGAAAAAAAATCAGAGCACGTTTTATCGGCGTTAACGGCACTCAAATATATCAATATTATTATCCATACTGAACTCATGTGACGTAACGCTGGATGAACACTCGTGTTGCAGACGTTGGATTGAAAAAATTCTGCTTGAAAAACGCAGACCTTGAGCGGTACCTTCCAGGTGGTAAATGTACAGCAGCGCCACCTCTTGCTGCCCTTCAATGTCGAAGTCTATACAAACTAGTGGAATGGTCGAACATGCATAATGATGAAGACAAATAGCAGAAATCCAGTTTTATGCCCTGTCTCGCAGCTCACTTTAAGGGGAAAATTTGCTGTAAATCCAGCAAAAAGTCGATATGCTAACCCAGTGAATTTAGGTTACTTAAAGAAGTTGGCTATTCAAGCGGCACTCTCGTGCAGCCTCTGCTATCCGTAGCCACGGTTCCTAATCTAATGCAACTTCCGGCCCAGTTATGAACTGCGGTCTAGTTGTCCTGTTGGCCGAGCTATGCAGTCGATACATGGTATCGTGTGAGACGAGCGCCTGCAAACGTACCTGCAGACAAGCTGAATGGTTTTGTAGTTAACAAAAGGCAGATATGTTGCGTCACGTGGTTGTGTGCCCCAGAGCTTTCCTGTCGCCAATTGATTTGGTATCATCGATAGTTAAGTTACCGTATTTGCATTTTAATCTGAAAGTGACGGTTCGAAACTCTAGTCGCCTAGTACTCTAACGTTCTCTGAAGATAGTTAGTGCCCTTTAGCTCACATGGTCCAGCATGTCCATGCAACATGAAAAGTTGCGCGGTAACGTGAAAGATCCTACACAATTCGAAGTATTAATTTTCTAATTCTATTTGCTCTATTTATGCAAAGCAACCGTTATATACGCATGCGCATCAACACATTTATGTTGTGGCGGCGGCGGCGGCGGCGGCGGCAAACAGACATAGCTTTTAAAATAGCTGAGCAAGTTTATTTTGAGGCCTCTGTCAAATATTGCTCTATTCGAAAGAAATGGGGGCGGTATTATGGATCGTTTGCTGTATCAGCGCATTGTTTCATGGGCGTACGTATGGTTCGTTATCCATTTCGGGACTTAACTGTGTAGTCTTATCGAAACAGAGGAAGAAACCGTGAGATATTAAAAGCTCATTCTTAATGGCACTCGTTGTTGACGCGTATTGTTACGGACGGTTGCAATTAACGAGAAGTTGCTACTTGTAAGGCTAAACATGTTGCTGTTTAGAGAAATATCACATCATATAACCGTCCTTGAATGCACTTACACAACTATATAAGAAATTTTAGGCCACCCGAGACATCATCGAATATTTTATGGAAATTGTCCATTGCAAAAAACATCATCCCTGAAACACATTCACGCCATCAAGGATTTTTATGTAGAGCTAATCGAGTTACTTAACATTAGAGTGGCAGTCCTTTGAATTGAATATGCTCAACGATAGGAAACGTTCTAAAATGATATACACACGCAGTAAATTAGACACACGCCGCCTGTCTTTGGCAACTTCGAATCAACCACAGTAAGTTACCCGTTGTTTGTCATTTCTTACCACATGGATTAAGACGCGGATTGTAGCTAGAATGCCCCAGACTTGAACTTCAATATTTCATGTTTCGCTGTTTACGTATTTGCCTCCGGACGCCGTTGGTTTTCGACGAAGATTTCTAGCAATTAATTACAAACGTTATCTGCCATAGCAGCAATCTCTATAGGTAATTTGAGGCCGTCAAGCAAAAACTAGCTACTGGTGGGCTAGCGAACTAGCGAGAGGATATTTTATGTCCTGCTTCATTGTAATAATCATGTGACTAACACATGACGTTTTTAAAGTAAATGTCACTACCGCATTGATTCCATACGCGCCATAAATCAGCGTGTACCTGCATGTGATAGGTGTAATAATCAGATCTACAAACCTCGACTTGGCATTAGTTAGAATAGCGCAGTATTACCCATGGCAACGAATTATAAATAATCATTAGTCACTCGTACTTTCCGAAACGCATACTCGAACCCTTTCGCCTTGCATATACATAAACCCTAAACGAGATGCATATAAAAACACTATAGGTAACACCCTTGTTTAGCTGTACAGTAACGTTTTTTTAAAGATGATTGCTGGGCTGTGTAGTTACATATCGGATCATTCAACTCACTGTTATCTGATTAGGTACGAGATTTATTTTCCTGAAGATGTAACCATTGGCTTCATCTTTTTTTGCTGCCGCTGCCGCTTCCGTTGTTGTTGTACAGGCGAGCTCGGCGTCGTCCGGAGGAAGCGGCGCCTCTTCCGTAATCTGTGCTGCTATCGAGCCTCAACAGCAAACAGCCCAACAAAGCTCTCAGCAACCACAGCAGGTGCAATCGCAAGGCCCATCCCCGACCTCGACACAGGTTCCGTCGCCAGCTGCAGCAACAACTAATAGCGGTGGCACGACAGGTTTGCAGCAGCGGCAGAGTCCCCTCTTGCAGACTCCGACGCAGGCTGCACTCAGTCATTCGGCCAGCCAGCCGTCGCCGATATTGCCAAAAGGCGGTGGCCAGGGCCAGTTGGGCCTCCAACAGGGACAACAAGGAAGTCATCGTTGGGACGGAGGTCAACATCCGCATCACATTACCTCGGGGGGCCGACTTCCTCAAAGGCAACAGCAGCAACACATTCAACATCTACAACATCAGAGCGACAGCAATTCGCTTCACCCACCGCAGGTAAGTTAACAGCACGGACATCCCCGAAGGTAAATTGCAAGGTAAATTAAAGTTTCCACCATAGTACAGGACGTCACTATAAAAGGAGCTGCGGACCAACAGATAAAATCTGCGTCTGCATCACACTGCGTTCATAATTCACGCTCACTTATATCAATGCTGTTGTGCGTGTGTGGCCTATGTAGGCGTATCAAATCCCCGAATAATCCATTCATGTAGGAAATAGACCTGAGAATATAATTGAGTATTTTAAGGTCCATATATAAATACGTATGTATTTCTGTTTGTATCAGTAGTGCTTTCTGAGCATGTCGTCGGCCATTGTTACACAGCTGTTGTATCGTAACCTATCGAACGTTTGGACTGTTATTTAGTCTTTTCACAATGACAAACAACAGGATTAGCCGTAGAACGTTCCGTAGTTGCTACGTAGATTTAACTGAATCCTCCTTACCTTCGCCAGTCTTTCGTCTATCAACTTACATGGTTTAATCTAGCTAGCTGACATGACACATGGCCAATACACAAGCGGTTCTCAAATCTATTGCAAGTCACCATAGTGCGTCTACCAGGCAACCACACGAAAAAATCACCGCTCGTTCCAAGCTATCCATACCGTCAAACTCGGATAGACAAACACAGACATAGTGCGACCGTGGAATGATACGCTTTCACAATTGTGGCAGTGATGGCGACGGTAGGTAGGCAGGTAGGAAGGACCAGTTAGCTAGGTCGTTACCTTCGCGACTTGCAGGCGTTCACAGATGGGTCGTTATCAGTTAGCTTCAATAGTTCCTTTTGCTCTTAGAACTCGCAATAGACCATGGGTCCATCTATTGCATCAAGGTGCCGTATTGTGTTCGTAGCTTATCCCACGTCATTCAACTCACATCTATATTATTATAGTAGGTTTTGATTTGTCGACGAACGTTCCTTTATAGCCTATTGAAGTATCTATTTTATTTAGGAAGTAGGACACAAGTTCTGTGTGTAACATCCTTGAGACGACGCAGACGATGTATTGTGTCTTAAGAGGTCGGTATGGTTCATTTACCATGTGTTATCTGGCTTAGCCATTGTGTGTGACCCTCGTTACTTAAAATGCGAAAAAGCTTTGACATTTTCTTCTAGTAAACCCTTGCTGAAGGTGTTAGACACATGAACGGAGGTTGATGGTTTACATGGGTGAATGAGTAAATGAGATTTCGGTAACCAGTTTTCGCGGACACATTTCATGATGTTTAATCATTGATGCAATGACAATAGTTAGTTGGTGTTTAGACTCAGCAATGTTATGGATGTTATAGTATAAAAATCTTCAAACTTTCAGGCTTTTCACAGGCTCTGACTACGTAATAAGTATTACTACACGGAAAACATTTTGTGTTGGGAATTGCGCAGTAGGCGCAATACTAGCGCAAGTGGCATTTGATCGATGTTTCCAAGCATTTGACGACGGCTTTACTACTACTGTTCCAGGATGGTGGAATGATAATGGTCAATGGGGGTGGAGTTGGCATTGGCAATCGGGATCGAGGAAGCCGCGGTGGATCCAGTCCCCATGGGGGCCCATACGGACACGATGACGGTCTTCGTCAGTCGGGCATGATACACCATGGTCAGCAAGGTCCTACCAGATATGCTCGTCCAGCGCCAAACTTCGGCGACGAACGTAGTCATCGTCAGTATATGGTTAGTTTTATATAGAACAACGATTTTTACGAAGATTCAACAAAGATCGATCAGCCGACCTGCCACGTAATGAATGAAGGCTGTTGCCATCTGTGCTTGACATTTATTAGTGTGTGTGTATTAGAAGCTTATTATTTTCAATAATTAAATATTACTGAAGACGATCCTAACTCAAATCAGACTGTATTATTATTATTACGGTTATCTTGAGCCGCCTTAAAGCCGTTCATCAATGTGTAAACAACCCCTACAGTTATATGTATGCTGTTTTAAAACGCATAATTTTTATTTAGAAACTGGAACTGCCCTATGTTTTAAGAAGTTTCTGATCTTTACTTGTTACGAAGAACCGTGTCTTCCACAACTAAATCATAGAGGTCACTAAGACTGTCTATCGGCTACTGTAAGGGTACTGTTAGTCAAGGTAATACGATTTAAATGGTTCACTTTGAATCAGTTCTCGAAGGCCATGCTCAACGTTATCTATGTTATTCTGTAGAAACTCCGAAAGAAGCTCGAATCACGCACACATACTTCGTCCGGTGGAGCCACACTCGGAGGTTTTAACAGCCGTGGACAGAAAGACGACACAAACAACAACAACAACGACACTACGACTAGTAGAAACAATAAGTGCAATGGCGGCACCGGTATCAGTGCATCTGAAAACAACTCAACGAATCAAGTACAGCATCCACACAATGTAACTTTAACCTGCCATAGCAACAGTGCGGCTGGCGGTAACAATGGCCATCACCACCATGCCCATCATCACCATCAACAACAGATGTCAACAGCGGCGATGGCGCCGCTAGCCACTACGGGGACAATTAGCGGTAGCTATAACAATAAAGCTAGTAACCATAGTAACAGCAGCAGCAGCAGCAGCAGCAGCAGCAGCAGCAGCAGCGGCGGCGGCGGCGGCGGCGGCGGCGGCGGCGGCAGCAGTGGCGGCAGCAGTATGATGACCAACAACAACAATAACCTTAGCGGAAGACAGTCTTCTTCGTCGACGTTGTCGTTAACAACGTCGACAACGATCGGACATGGAACAATTGCATCAACCGACGGTAATCGGAACTCGGTGAGTGAAAGAGCGCCAACACCGCGAAATCACTGCGCGAACAGTTGAAGTCCGCGATCATTTTTTAAATGTTTTTTCTAATTACTGATCAAGATGTTCTTATGTACACAGCTAATCAACCAAATCGGCCAACCAAATCAAAATACACATCTAATTTTCTATGTCTATGAGTATTTTCTGTTGCACTTCGTCACCTCTCCCACTGGGCGGTGCTTCGGTGTCACAAGTTATTATTTCACTTGCTATTGGTGTTTTCCAAACACATACAAAAATATTTTTTTCCGTTCTTACCTTCTTCTGTTTGCATATAAATTCACCTTCGAAAAGGTAGAAGTTTACAACTTATTCGAAAAAAACAATCTACTTATCGAAAAAAGTTATGCTTAACGATATGTCCGAGGGAAGATAAAGTTCCGCTCGACGAGGGCCTGCAAGTGATCAGTAACCATTCAAACTATGCAACATTGATTGACCTAGAACTGGTAAAAAAAAATGAGATAACAAACACTCCTGCGGTGTTTGCCGGTAACCAAAGGGAGCTATTTGGACCGGCTTGCCCAGCCCAATATTATCAAAACGTTATACATAACAAGCAGGCAAACAAGCAGTTTTCAATGATTGCTGAGTATGATTTATTCCAGTTAATGGCAAACTCTGTGATATTGAGCGGAAGTGGCGGTCAGCTGGAAAAGGAAGCTGTTCGCGGAGGCTGTAAAGGAGGTGCGGCTGGTGGCCACAAAGGCAGAGTGGCAGGTGGCCAGGGAGCGCAGGGACAAAGCGTTGGAGGGGTCGGCGATGACACTTCGTCGGTTTCCGAGAGCAGCAGCAGCAGCAATCAGGCCAACAAAAAAGGCAATTCCAAGGGTTCGTTCGATTAAATGAATAATAATAATTACGATATACTGAAACAAATGTGGAATTAGTTGGTGTGCATAAAAAATTATCGGTAGTTGTCGTGATTCATGTAAGCACTATGGGCTAGCCAGAAACTTGGTCCAAGCAATTTGATACACATGAAGAGTAGCGAACAGAAGCTTAAACGCATGCTCAAGAGAGTTAAGATTGCCATCTTGTATGAATGTTGTTCAGTGAGCGCTGAAATGGAGTTACGTGAGCTGTTGACGTGTGTAACCGCCCCAGAGGCAGTGCACGTACATGCTCGAAGCGTGCTTGTCACCTGGAATCCTCCCGACCCAACCAGCAGCCGTATGGGACAGCATAACTTCAATGCCATAAATGTGGCAGCCGTCATACGTAAGTTCCGATCGAATTTAACCATACGATGTTATACAAAAGCATTACAATAATGCTGCTGTCCTTTATTAACCTAGGCTTTACCAAACAGGTTACCTCTATTTTAATTGTGGATTTTTAGCGGAGCTTTCTTACGAGTTGTACGTGTCATTGGCACCCGGTGAAAAGAATAATGCTGGAGCACGGGAACGGGAAAGAGTTCGGCAGGTGGCCGCAGGACGAGTTCGAGAGTTTCGACTGGAGGGGCTGACTCCAGCTACCGAATATCAGGTCGCTGTACAGGCTGTGTCGGATAAGGTATGCATTATGCACAAGTACCAAATCATAGTTAGGACTCACAGATAAACGTATGTATATATTATCAACAGTGTATGCTAATCGTACGTATGTGTTCCTAGCACCGTGTAGTTAGGCGTGACTGTAACGTACACTGCTATTATTGCTTTTACGGCCAAATGTAGTTCATGCACGGGTAGGTTAGCTGTCTCCCAAATATCGATGATTGTCCGCACCTTTGGTCTTTTCTATGATGCTCTAAAACAACCGTTAACGCGAATTCGGAATCCCTGAAATTTAGCTCTTCTGCAGATTTCCTCAGTTAGTTTTGGTTTGCAACATTCGCTGCAGATAAAGGGTACGCCCTCAACGCCATGTGTATTCGAAACGCTCAAATGCGAACCCAGCACACCACTACCGCCGAAGCTCGTATCGCGCACCAAGAACAGTCTCGAACTTAAATGGCTATCAACTTCAGACAACGGTGCCAAGATTACGGAGTACGTGCTGTTTATGACTGAACTCAAGCTATCGGTTTCGTCGGCTGCTGACGCCGCTGCGCAGGACTCTTCCGAGGAACCTCATGGTGACTCCCAGGAGCGCCAGGAGGAGCAACTTGAAGTGTATCGGGGTCCAAACAAGAACTTCAAAGTATCGCGGTTAGCACAGAATACGACGTACCAGTTTAGAGTTGGTGCCGTTAACTCTGTCGGCAACTCGGAACTCTCACAGCCTGTCTGCTATTCAACGTGTGGGGCTGCCCCGCCGCGTCCAGATCCACCTCAGCTCGTCCGTTTGGGCAGCGACTTCATTGAACTGCGTTGGGATGCACGAAACAACGAGACATATGGCTTATACATGATGCAGGACGGCGCGGCACATGGATTCGTGGCGATTTATAACGGCAAAGAGAGTCAGTACCGTGCCAGCGATCTTTGTCGCAGCACCAAGTACTGCTTCAAGCTGAATGCACAAAACGAAGACGGTACGTCGGTCTTTAGCAACGTCGGAACTTATGAAACCCGCCCCGAAGTTCCAGGAAAACCTGGTCGGCCATCACCCACAAGCAAAGTGACACCACGTCAATGCGTCCTTAGCTGGTCACCACCGGGCGATTCTGGTGGTGCACCAGTTCAAGGCTATTGTCTGGAGATGTGTCCAGTAGCCCGTAACCAGCAAGGCTCCCAGCCGCCGTCTGAGTTCCAGCTCGTGTACACCGGCACCGAGCATCGTACTCTCGTGGGCAATCTTCAGCCGGGAAGCACGTATCGGTTCCGTGTGTTCTGCTATAGCGAAGCAGGGCAAAGCGCTTACTCGGAGCCGAGCTGCGTATGCACCCCTTGTGAGTGTCCTGGACAGTGTGGCCGACCAACGCTTCAGGGAAAACCAAAATCACATTGGATGAAGGTGCGTTGGAACGCCCCGGACAACGATGGTGGAGGTGCAGTTTACCAGTACGAATTGAAGCTGTGCAAACAGGACAGCCGTGCTGGTAAGTCATGAATGGTTTCATTCAGATGGACGGTAGAATATGATTCTTCTATAGGGTACATTTTTCTAAAAACGATTTTCTTCAGGTGTAATCGTAACCTAGCTAGCTAGCTATCTAGCTTATAGAATATAGCGTAATGTCAAAACGGCTCTTAAAGTGCAGCTCCGATCGATACTATTAATCATTTAGCTTTCTTTGTATTGAAAGGATAGAATTATTTCTTAAAGAACCACGTCGACAGAGAAATAATGTCAAGGGAATTTACCACAGTATGCTTAACTAATATATTCATGACTACAATCGTTACTGGGTAACAGACTCCGAGGAGCCGACTCCATCGCCATCACCTGAGCGCACACTACGCGGTTCTCCGCGCCTTGACGTCTCGCAGTCACAAACCCCCTTGGAGAATGGAGATTCGCCCTGGCTCATTGGCTATAAAGGGCCCGAACAAGAAGCCCAAGTGTCGGGCCTTATACCTGGATCACGCTATCGTATAAAAGTTCGCGCCTTTAATGCGGCTGGGCCTGGACCGTGGTCAGAGGTGCTATCAACAGAAAGCGGACCTGGTTGTCCAGGGTCGATCAATAATGCACGTATCGAGTCAAACAGTGGAGGTATCGTTGTCCTTGCATGGGATGCCCCCTCTAATGATGGCGGAGCTCAAGTCACTTGGTAAGAATCACTTTTCTAATCAGATATGGTTATGACACAGTGACGTAAGGATATCGTGTATATTTCAGATAGCGTTTGTAGAAAATATGTAACATAAATTAATTGTGCTTCGATTGCAGTTACGTTGTGGAACACAGAGAAGGTTCAATGGATATGACGGATTACGCCTTAAAGTCGGAAAATTACGGTTTCACTGAGGTAAGCCGTGGTGAGGGCACCTTGTTCGAGATGCGCGGTCTCAGTCCGAACACGACGCAGAACTTTCGAGTGGCTGCTGCCAACAGCGTGGGCCTATCTGCGTGGTCATCGTTGCTGACGTGTTGCACCCCCGCTGCAGTTCCGGCTGCTCCAGCCGCACCTCAGCTCGTTCACGTTGGCCACACTTCGGCCGTTATTCGCTGGTCGCCGCCTTTAACCGATGGAGGTGCGCGCGTTGAACGATACATCATCGACGTGTCCACCAGCAAGGGAACGACAGGCTTATCACTCATCAAGGTAACACTCGTAAGAATTAACAGGAAAAATGTATTTGTCAAGTCGGCACCCATGACAATATTGGATGACTGTGGCAAATCAATAATTATTTAGTATCATTTAATTGTAGGAGATGCCTGAGAGACAGGCGCCTAGTGGTGACGAAAGCGATGACGAGGATGAGCTTGAAGAGGATAAATTGAGCTACGTCGTGAGCCCTCTTGAGCCGGAAACCAATTACAGGGTGAAAGTGAGAGCCGTCAACCGAGTAGGCTTCTCAGCTGCTGGAACTAGCCTTAAACTGACGACACATTGCGAACCTCCACCTCCCCCATTGCTTGAGTGTTCCATCGTCGGACACAACTTCCTCAAACTGGTCTGGCGCGCAGAAGAGACCGGACCACGAAGTCCTCACAAAACAGCAAAGGACAATGGCCGTGATGGCAGAGATCACAAGTTTATCCAGTATTCATTAGAGATGGTTACTGCCAATGGGTAAAAGACATACTTACCATTTTGTAACTATTTCATATCCCAATTTTTGCCGATATATTATTACACATACGTAAAATGGTAGACAATACGGTTTTATTTTGACCTGTGAAGCTCTTTCTTGCTTCCAGCCACCTAGGCCTGGCTACCCTATGACATGAGAATACAATAAAGTGTATATGCTTCTTTTCAGAGCGACTCTTCTGTATCAAGGCCCCGTAACATCGTTCAAGGTCGTCAGACTTAAAGAAAACTCGAATTACGCCTTCCGGATTCGCGCCTCGAACCTCGACTCGGAGGGTGATTGGTCGCAACTTGTATCGTTCTCGACGTGTTTCGCCCCGCCCGCGGCTCCACCCGCTCCGCGCGTCGAGAAAGTCTCAGGCGAAGGCGAGTTTATTGTCGACTGGGCAGCTGCCACTTCACTATGGAAGTTTGCCGAACCTTGTCAATTCCTACTCGAGTTGGGCGAACACCAACAGACGCCTAGGGCTGCCACTGTCGGATCGGGCCTGGGTGCCAGTGGCGGCAATGGTGGGTCCAGTGCGGGCGGAAGCGTTGGGGCGGGACCAAGTAGTGGCAACAATGGAAACGACGCGATGGCCATATCTTCCATGGGCGCCAGTGAACGCCCATTAACCTGGACGGAAATCTACCGTGGCAGCGAGGAGCGAACGCGCATCTCGGTTGCGCCCAGTGCATTCACTGGTGGTGCGGACGAGCTGCGCTTCGTTCGATTGGCGCAGCTACGGCTCATCGACGTTGACACGAATATTAAAAGCCCATACTGCCAGCCCGTACCGCTGGTAGGCAGAGCCGCGAGGGCCAAGGCGTTACCGAAGGCGGCCAGACCGCAGGCTGTGGCCGATCTGGCATCGGTCGTCGGCGCGCAACAACACCATCATTATCACGGTAGCGGCGGTAGTCATGGTTACGGTCACGGCCATGGTCAACATCAACAAGGACACCAGCATCAGGCGCCGCAGCCGCAGCAATTCAGACGCAACAGGTTTGTTTCAGGATCTGCCATTAATTTAAACGTCCCTGCATAAGGTTGCACGTATCATGCATACATACATACATACATACGTATAACAACGATTGGTGATAGAGCTAGTACCACAATATACATTATACTAACCGTCATATTCTATAAAACGTTACCAGATTTTACCTGTACCGCACATACATATTCAGAAAACATTGTAACCATGTGTTTTCATGTTCATCATTTTAGCGTGCAGTCGGCCGCCGTCGAGCCAGCAAAAACCCCGCGGGCTATTGGCCAGCTGGGAGATCACCATTGGGCAGCCATTTTTGTGCTGGGCTTCGCGCTTGCTGCTATTCTGGTCGCTTTCCTACTGGAGAAATTCGTCCACGTTTCAAGTTAGAGTGGATCATCATCACTGAGAGGATAATCCAACTGAACGTATGATGATATCTTGCGTTGAAAACTGTAGCACAAGTAGAAGGGGTGAACATTTTTCGCAGCTCATCAAAACGCCGTTCAACGAATGAATGAACTTACTAAACCTGTAAAAACAGTTACAGTCTTAGAGGTTTCAATGGTCCAAAAATATAATAGAATCCAGCAACGTTGGCGTGCTGTTATAAAGCAGTGACACTGTCGATTATAGGGAAACAGTAAGCAAACGGAACCTTGCATATAACTGAATTGCTAGGAGTGAATCATAGCGTTGACTGAATGTACCGACCATATATTGAAAGGTGCTGCAACATGCCCGATAGCTGTACAAAATCGAAACTGGTTAAGAGCGTAGACGGATCGAACGAAGCCGAAGGGTGAATTAGTGAAAACGTTACTAGAAGCAAATGAAAATAGAACATGGTCAGATGGGAAGTCGATCGTATGCTTTCTGTATGTATTAGGGAGAGAGCCCATATGGAAACCCGGTGAATGTCTGTGCAGCACAATAGGCAACGATGACGGAAGTGAGGACGCACCACGTGAACACGCTACAAGTGTTCTCGCAAAAAGTGCAATGGATCTCCATGCAAGAGCGTATGATTACGATATACGAAAAGCAAATGGCAGGACTGCATTAAAGCCATTGAAATTTTGAACAGTGACTCGCTCTGTTGCAGTTCGTTCTAATTAGCAGAAACTAATGAAAGCAGGCAACGAAACGTTAACGTGAGCCTCTGACCTATTAGTTGTATGGTTGTCTGAATCGAGGGCGATATATCATATTAAAAAATAAAAAAAACCTTAGGTAGCGCCCGGGACATTTCATAGTGGTAGGTCGAGAGGTGTGTGCCTCGTGGTCGCCGATTTTCTTCGCATCGAAAGCGAAGAGTGAAGCACAAGGTGGTAGGAATGAAGCATATGATGATGATGTCAAGAACAAATCCTAGAAGGCCAAACTGATATAGAGAGAAAGTTCCATTGAAAGAAAATATGAACTAAATGCGCAGTTTATGGACAATAAACGCGTAACCCAGCGGCTCTCAAGGAAATCCCTTCGTAGCGCGCTGATACCGACATTTCACGAAGAATTCTCAGCTCAGTCAGGAATAAGAGATATGGCGGTAGCAAACGAAAAAAAAACAGCAAATTAAAGCACTAGTATTTCCTGCGGAAAATTTTCTAGCAGGATTGTCCTGTCCTGAGAGGGTTTGCAAGCGCGTATGAAAAAGTGTCTTCTAAAGGAGTCATCAGAAAGTCTCATATCAGGACGCCCCGCGGAACTTCACAATTAAGCCTATAAGAGGATTTCTTGCAGAAAACCTTGCAGAGAGGCATGTTGCACAATTGATTGTAACATTGCCTTTCGCAGGATTATCTGCCAGAAACACCTCAAACAGAAAATATCTGAAGAAGGTTTTTTGCTTGCAAACCTATCCAAAACGCTTCTTGTAGCAAGATTCCCTGTAAAGATAGGCATGACGAAGGTTAACTAGAAAGTAGATGCGGCGGGATATACGAGACGCTATAAAAAAACGTGAGCCACAATATTAACAGTTACGGAAGCAGCATACATACATATATATATATATATATATATATATACATACATATATATATGGATAAGAACGACGCACGAGATGGAGTACTCAAACAGTTGAGGAGCTACTCAGGAGAAGTCATTATATAACAATTAGAGTTACTATATGAAATTACAACCTGCATGAAACAAAACCGGCTGTACGCGAAGAAGAACGCCGGTAGAAGTCTAATGCGGCCTAATGCGCGAAAGTCGATAACTCATTGTTCGGACCACGTTCGGGTCTTATAAGTGTT